GTAAAGATTAATAAAAATTAATATTATTATTCAATTTTTTTTATTATTCTACGTGTAAAAGTATGATGGTAAAGTTATCGAAAAGTGAATATTTTATGAGATATTACATATTTTATATTAAAAAGATTATGATAAAATTTAAAATGTGAATAGGAGAGGCAATTAGAGCCAAGCGCGGTAATCAAAGCGCAAACAATTTATAAAATAAATATATATATATTAACGTACGTTTTGACACATTATTCGTGTCCTCTTCAGCGTTAAAAGTTACATAAAGTCAAATACGAAGATTAACAAAGATAATAAAAAAGAAGTCGAGTATAAGGCGTAGTCAATAGACGAACAAAGTATAAAAGACGCAGTCAAAATTAAAAAAAACAAGGATTGAAATCTTATGGATGTAACCGAATTTCGGTAAAAATTTAAAATATTTCAGGAAATTCTTAACGAAAGAAAGCTTTATCTTAGTATTTTGAAAACGTCTCGACAAGGGTTACAAGCATATGACATAAAAAATAGCGGTTTTCGTTAAAAAACATAATGTGACCTTTATATGACTTCCCCAAGATCATTCAAGGTCAAATCAATATCACCACATAATGGATAACTTGGTATCCTACAACTTTTGTATAAAACATTTCTTCCGAAAACGTCATCTTTCCGAGATAATTCAGTATCCCGACCTTTTTGTTATACTCTGTGCAAATGTCAGATTATCCGATAGATGGGATTCGATAAGATCCGTTTCTCGTATATAAAATATGACAAACGATAGTATAAGAACGGTATATAAATCAAGTGTACGGTACAACTTTTATCATCAGTTGTATCGCACGTTAATAATAAAGTGGCACACAATTTCGAATTGAATTGATATATTTATGGTTTTATAACATTTTATATCCCTTTATAATTTTTAATTATATCTGAGCAGATCAGGATACATTCAGTAAATAATTATATCTCGGCAGATCAAATGTATATTTTTTCAGATCTGGCTAGATAGAGACAATTTGCAGATCAAATAATATCTGGCCAGATCTGATGAACCAGATCTGGTTATACCTCGGCAGATCTAATTCTTTTTCCCGGGATATATTTATTTAAAATCGTTTTTTGTTTGTCAAACTAGTTACGCGTAGTAAAAATTAACGATTTCTAAATAATTAAATCGAAGTTAATGTTTTTATATTTGGAGGAGTAAAAACCACAGTGTAAGTCAATTTTTTTTAAATATTTTTTTGTGTGCAAAATGCAATTTATATATTGTACAGATTGCATCTAAAATATTTTTTCGTGTGCATAAATGCAATCTGCACAATCACGACCGACGTGGTCGTCCTCTTCGGCCGCCATTCAACGCTCAGCTCAGAACTGGCACGGACTAGGGGAATCCGACTGTCTAATTAAAACATAGCATTGCGATGGCCCTCACGGGAGTTGACGCAATGTGATTTCTGGCCAGTGCTCTGAATGTCAACGTGAAGAAATTCAAGCAAGCGCGGGTAAACGATGGGAGTATCTTATGACTCTTTTAATTATGACTCTCTGCGCCTTCCCTCCCTCTTGTTTCTTGGGCCCTTGGTGGCCCAAGAAACAAGAGGGAGGCAAGGCGCAGAAAATACGGAGCAACCCAGAGTCTCTAGACCAGGGATTGTCTCCGGTGTATCAATGGAGTGTTGGACCAGATAGGTGCCATATCACAACCCCCAAGGAAATTCATGAAACCGTATTGGACTGCGGTGATGACAACACAGACTGATATGGCCCTGCAAACGGAGACAGCGCCTGTTGTGGAAGGATTATAGGCGCCAATCACGGAACCCGATTTAAAAATTGCGCGAATTGTCAGGTCCTCAACCGCGGGCCGGACGGAGTCTCGGTACTCCTCTTCAGAACAATTCCAGCTCAGGTGCTTCTGAGAATATATAATATCCTGATGTGGTACAGAGAAAACTGTCGCAGGATCTTCTGCGCTCCAGGACAGTCTTCCTACCTAAGAAGAAGGACGCAAACAAGCCGAGAGACTTCCGACCCATCACCATCCCGTCTGTACTGGTTAAAGGTCTGCACAAGATCTTAGCCAAAAGAATGAAGACTCTTCTGGACTTAGAAGAGTCAGTTCAGGTCTACGGATGGATACGCAGACACCTTTCTGTTAGATACCCTGCTAAGGTTGCAAAGAAGATATTGTTGATCGCTATATCTGGCCTCTCTGGATGTCAGTAAGGCGTTCGATTCGGTCACTTATGCGGCGATCGTGGCCACCCTAACGACTCTTGGTGTTCCCGCCCCGATGGTAAAGTACCTGTCTAGGGTCTATGCGGCCTCAGTAACAAGACTGGAAGGGGATGGCTGGACCTTTCCGTATATACACCCAACAGGAGGCGTTCGGCAGGGTGACCCATTGTCACCGATCATCTTCAACGCGATCACACATCTGATGCTTAAGAAACTGCCGGAAGAAATAGGTGCGCATCTAGAGAATCTTCCAAAAAATGCGGTAGCAATTGCGGACGACCTGCTGCTCTTTGCAGCCACTGTGGAAGAGCTGCAAAGGCTCATTGACATCGTGACAGAATACTTGGCAGAATGTGGAATAAGCATCAATCCAGACAAGAGCATGACAATCGCTATTAGGGCGGTACCGCATTTGGGGAAGACGGTAGACAATGGCATCAATTTTTAGTGTAACGGACGACCCCTTCCAAGTCTAACCAGATCAAGCGAATGGAAATATCTGGGAATTCACTTTACGCCGGAGAGAAGGAAAAGATGCCGGCCAGTCCAAATCTTGGAAACAATGCTGAGGTCGCTTACAAGAGCTCCGCTAAAACCGCAACAGAGATTGTTCGCACTAAGAGTTGTGGTGATGCCGAAACTCTATCACCAGCTAGCGTTGGGAGCAGTCACACTGGGGACACTGAACAAGGTGGATCGCCTAGTGAAAAATGCCCTTAGGAGATGGTTGACACTACTAGAGTTTCTATAATAAGCGTTAAGACGCCGTTATAGCTTTGTCTCACTCCCACTAATTTCTTGGCTGAAACATATGGCGACCATGATAGCTTTTTCTCACTCCCACTTATAACTTGTCTCACTCCCACTAACTTGGCTGAAACATATGGCGAAACACATAAAAAATTATTACCACATTGGCTTAACTCTTATTATAGGAATAACTCTAGACACTACCACACGATGTGCCTAATGCGTACTTTCACGCATTAAAGATGGAGGTCTCGACATCCCATCAATGAGATGGACGGCACCAGTACAGAGACGCGGAAGATTGTTAGCCGTCAAAAGAACTCTTGGCCAGCAAGGACTTATAAGATTTGCAGAAGATGAATTGGGCAAGTAAGAGACATATCACAGATCATAAGACCTTGTACAATAACCCAGGGATGATCGTGAAACGCTGGGCCGACAAGCTATATGTCTCAGTAGACGGAGGAGCACTCAAGACTTCCGCAAAAACACCCCACCAACACCAATGGGTAGCAGACGGTAGTAAGATGTTAACTGAAAAAGACTACATCAACTGCCACAGAATCAGGATTGGTGCCATGCCAACAAGATCGCGGACAACGGGGGGAAGTACGCAGGACCGCGATGTCGTGCAGGATGCCTGACGCAGGAGACACTGAACCATGTGTTATACAGCATAAGACTTACGGGAACAAGGTTAAGAGACACGACGCTGTAGTGACCTACATCGCCCGGAATATCCCTAGAGGAGGATATCAGGTACTTCTGGAACCTCATTACAAGACTACCGAGGACCTTAGGAAGCCAGATATAGTGGCACTGCTCGGACGCAGTCGTGATAGATGCGCAGGTAGTAAGCGAGCAAACAGATCTGGAAGACGTGCATAGAAGGAAGACGTGATACTACAACTATCCGGCAGTTATAGAGGCTATACGAAGAGAGCACGACGCGCAAGAAGTGGTAACCGCATTGGCCACTTTATCATGGAGAGGGATCTAGAGTGAAAACTCAGCTAAAGAGCTGCGCAGGTTGGGATTTCTTAAGTCTCAAGACCTTAAGATAATACCCACACGGGTTCTGATAAGAAGTATGGCTGCATTCTGAGTATTTAACGCTGTAACATCGGTGGAACATCGCCGCGGAATAGGCTAAGTCCCTTAATACCCCCCCCCCTCTAGGTGCTGCCTGCCTAACAGGCATAATATGCCCTCCCCTTAGTTGTAGGTACTAATGTATATATAGTAATATGTATAAATAACGTTGTATAATTGTAATAAAGCGGTAGGCAAATTTTTTGTAGTTAAATGCCTTGTCATCTATAATTAGTGACGCGCATGAATGGATTAACGAGATTCCCACTGTCCCTATCTACTATCCAGCGAAACCACTGCCAAGGAAACGGGCTTGGAAAAATTAACGGGGAAAGAAGACCCTGTTGAGCTTGACTCTAGTCTCGCACTCTGTACAATATTACATAAATTGCATCTATGCACACGAGAAAATATTTAAAAAAGTTTGACTTACACCACTGTGGTTTTTATCCCTCCATTTATTCTTGCAAAGTTCTAATTTGCCTTTTTGAAGTAATATAATAAAATATACATTAAGACTGCTCCTGCTGTGTGCGTGTGCGTGTGCACTTGCGTGTGCGTGTGCGTGTGCGTGTGCGTGTGTGAGACGATTGACTCGATTGCCAAGTCCACGTTGATAGTACATACAATGTCATTCTTGGCAAAATTGTAAAATGTAAAGCGTTAAAAAGTTAAATTATTCTTACAACGTACAGCATTATTTTATTTTGTTTTAGTGTAGTGTTTTTATATTTAAAATAATTGTCATAGTATTAAATAGTGTTAATATGTTGTAAAATATGCTTTAGAAATACACTTAAAAATAAGTAATTATGATAAAATGTTTGAAATGAATAGTTTAAAATTAAGCAGTTGCATGCAAGTTATATAAAATTTTTTAATAAATATAATTTTGAGAGAATTTTAACGTTACTTACCAAACTTATGAGATCGGAAAGTCCTAATAGTTTTCCAGGCCAACTTAACAAGCATAACCTAATATTTCGTGGAAGTGGTTTGCAATAAACCCTCTTTGACATGTTGATTACCACTATTGATAATGTCAAAGATATTGTTTCTAGACAGAGGCAGCCACTATAAAAGTAAACTGTAAAATAACAGACATTAATTAATGACAATTTTTCTCGCAATTTTTATAGGAAATAATGTAAAATTTGCTAAAAAAAAAACAGAACATAAATATTTTATCTGATTGCTTGTAATGCATTTAATACATGCAATGCAAGTAAGTATATCGCATAATTTAATTCTATACATTTATTAATTATTACATAGATTTTATATTTTCTAGTTTTTTAAAAAGTAAAAAATAAATATTTAGAATTAGGTATAATTACAATATATGTATGTATGTACAAGGTGTCCTAAATTTTTCAATAAAACATTTTGAGACCTGCATTACCGCTCATTAATTTCAATACACCCTTAGATTCTTTGATTTCTCTGTAAAGGATGAACATGATATATGTGTTTTGCACAGAAATGCTAAAGTTACCTAACTTGACTTTGCGCGCGTATTTTCTTTATTTTCAGGAATCAGACACTATCCGGCTATTAGCCCCGTTTTTTTAAACTACAGTTTTCAAGGATTTTTATATAAATCCTCTTCTAAAAAGGAGATGTGAAGTTTATTGTTGTCGCTTTTCCGCGATGCCAATTGGTTCTCTTGCTGCGCTTACTTCATTTGCAGCTGTCATTGTATATTTTGACAGTTGTGTGTATCAAGGAGTTAATAATGTAATAGTAATAGCATAATGTTAAAGCTAAATAGCGCGCGCGAAGCGCGCGTCTGTAGTGTCTAGTAATATATAAAAATACGATGCATGCAAGTGTTGAAAGTGTTTATAACAGCAGGTGCATTCATTTCTGTGCAAAACACACGTATCATGTTTATCATTCTTAAAGGTAGGTTTTCATGGGCAGTGAAATGCAGCAGCAGTGAGCAGCAGTTTAGTAATTTCCTAGAAATGTTTTGCTCACTTCCGGCGCAAATTTTTGCTGCTCGAAATTCAGGCTTCAGTATTGGCTGTATAGGACCAATTTCATGAGCAGCAAAAATTTGCGCCGAAAGTGAGTCAAACATTTCTAGGAAATTACTAAACTGCTGCTCACTGCTGCTGCATTTCACTGCCCATGAAAACCTACCTTTACAGAAAAATCAACGAATCTGGGGGTTATTACAATTAATGAGCGGTAGTTTATACAACATTTTCTTTTTATTTCTGCTCACAGAACATACTACTAAAGTTTGTACAGAAAAATCTGGAACACCCTGTATACAGGTTTTAAATGATTACCCCCAAAATGTTTTACTCTTTTCAATTTTAGAAATAAATGTACGTTTTAGATAAAAGTTATATGGTCTCGACACAAATAATGGTAAATTTAATTTTCGAAAAAATCTATTTTTTAAGGTCACATGAAAGTCACTTTCAATTTTTGAAATGAAATGCCCCAAAATATTGATAACAATTTTGTAGCTGATGTTGAGACGTTTTCAAAGATCTATAATAGTTAACATTTTTGTTGAGAACTTGCGGAGATATCATGTATTTTCCGATACCGCCGACATTGGAATTACACAAGGTGGTTACCTCCACGCGGAGATTGTACGGTCGAATTTATATCTTTCTTGTGTCGATTAAGCGTGCATGTGCACGCTTGCGCGAACGTGTGTGTGGATGGATATGTATATGTGTGCGCGAGTAAAGGTAACAGGACATACGCGTAGGTAAGACCCCACGATTCATTACTTTCGTGATATTTTAAGATTCTAAACTATTATGTACCTTTGCTACGCAAATAGATAAATTTAAAAAACCCAGATAAAATAATGTTCCAAATCCTGACATTGTGCTGTCTGGGAATGCAACCTCCGCTATAGACGTATAACCACTTTGTGTAATTCCAGTACCGACGATGTCGAAAGATACGCGATGTCATATCTCCGCAAGTTCTCAACAAAAATATTAACCATAATCAATCTTTGAAAACATCTCAACATTAGCTACAAAATTCTGTTATAAAAAATGGGATATTATCTTCTTCTTCTAAAAAGAGCATGTCATCAATACTCGAATCTATCGAAGTATTGTTGTCGCTTTTCCGCGATGCCGATTGGTTCTCTTGTTGCGCTTACTTCATGGAGCGACTGTTATGGCATATTTTAACAGTTGTGTGGTTAATGTAACAGTGAAATATTAAAAATAAATAGTGTGCGCGGCGCATACCGCGCGTTTGTGATGTCTGGTACATTTAAAAAATTGAAGGTAACCTTTACCTAATCTTGAGAAATAGATTTGTTTGAAAATTGATTTCACCATTATTTGTCCCTTTAAACCATACAACTTTTGTCTAATATATTTTTTCTAAAATTAAAAAGAATAGAAATTTTGAATGGTAATTGTCTAAAATAGAATACCCTGTATGTATTTATATAAAATGTGTATGTAAATTAAATATTTTATATGACATGTATAAAAATATATCTAATAATATAGTTTTTATAATATGTCTATGTTATAAAATTATCTGTATTAAAAAGTTTAAACATTGTTAATTCAAATTTTAAATTTGAAATACTTGAATTATTTAATTATCGAAAAATTTTGATACTGAAATTTAAAAACTACATTTTTCTGTTAATGTAAATATAGAGAGAGAATAGCTCATTTTTTATTTATTATTTTCAAGATTAACTACATAAATTATATCTTTCCTCAAAACCTTTTTCAAACTTATGAACTTCACATTAATCTATATCTCAATTTTAATCTATTTTAACGAAATTATCTTAAATGGAAAAAATCATACATAATACAGAATATAAACAAATTGACTATTTTTATCTTGCTAGATTCAACAGTTTTGTAGTGTAAAATAACATTTATTTTCTTTAAAGTGTAACTGAAAATAATTGAAGGCTTCAAAGGAATTAGAGTTTTGCATTAGTCTACCTATGAGTGGAGGGGTCGCGGTTAATGGTATTTTAAGGCCGAGATAGCCTAAAAATACAGCGATGATTAATATAGTACAGGCCGCAACGCTGATCTTCATTTCACTTTGAGGTGGTAACCAAAACGTGACCAGAACCAGGAAAGCTATAGCTGAAAGTTCATATATCGTAAACATTGTTGACTGGATAAAATTCAGATCCAACCTGTGATAAGTTTGGATCTAATCTCACCACAGTCGTTTAACTTAGGAACGGTCGTGTTAGGGATTGCCATGACCCAGGCAGTGTTGGGCAAAATTTATTCTGAATAACGAATAAAATAAATTTATTCCTTACCTTATTAATAACAAATAAAATAAATTTATTTGTTATTTATAAATAACGAATAACTCAATTATTCATTATTCAAATAAGACGAATCACAAATAATTTATTCGTAATTCATAATTTTTATTCAAAAATGTAACGAATAAAAAAAAATTGATTACGAAAAATAATGCGCTCCAATAAAAATTTAAAGTTCACTTTACTCGTGAACGTAAAGTTATAATTTACTAATTAGTATTTTTAATGTTAAATAAATTAAAGAAATTAAATAAATAAAGAAATCAAATAAATTTATAATTAATAAAATAAAAATAAAAATTTATTTTAATAAAAACCTGTGTTATTAGCTTTAATTCATAAAATAAAAAACAAAATAAAAACCAATTCTATTTATGAATAGAAAAAAAGAAATATAATGAAAAAAGAACATAATTAACTTTAGTTTCTCAAAAGTGTAGATTTCAGAATGTTAGTTGGTTTATAAAAAAAAATCACTCAAATTTATAATTTTATTTGCTACGACGATTAATACAGCCAAATCTCATCGACTATCAGACAGTATGTTTGAAAAACATGTGCTTCTGAAAGCTTTTTTAAATAAAAATGTATCAAATCTCTATATATATAATGCCTGTATGTTTGTTCTTTATACACTCTTCAACCCTTTGACCGATCTGGACCAACTTTGGCACGGTTACTCTCTCTACCCCTGCGCGCAAAATATAGGCACAAAATCAGTTTTATGTCACACGTGCATGGAAAGTGGCCCATTACGCACGCGACGCGTGCGTGATAGATCACTTTCCACGCACTTGCAACATAAAATAGCGTGTGTAACACGTGTGTTAAGTTGAAAATTGGACGTGCGGAGTGGACGCACAAGCCGGAGGCAAGTGCGATCACCCGCACGTCCAATTTCTATCTTACAGCACTTGTTACACAAATAACTGTTTTATTACCGATTTTTATGGATACCGGTTTACAAGGTATTTTTATGATAATAATTAATCAAGTATTTTCTAATAATGACGATGGGTTCAATTTTTTCGTTTTCCAGAAAACGGTTCATTAATGAATGAGTAGTTTGCGGTAGAAATGGAATCGGTTTTTGATGCCAATGTGTTCAGAATGTTTTAAAACGTCAATGGGTTTAATTTTTCATTAATGGATCAATTTTCTGGAAATTGTTGCCAAAATTTTGACCGCGACCTACTCATTTATGGACTCTACACCCCTAGAAAAACTGTAATGTGAAAAATAGAATGTTTGTATGTCTGTTTTTTATACACTCTTAAACCCTTTGACCGATCTGGACCAACTTTGGCACAGTTACTCTTTATATATACCCCTAGTAAAACTGTGATGTGATGGAGATCAGAAAAATTAGCAAGATGTAAAATTATACAGCTTGAATGGATCAAATGGATCAAATTTCGAGCTGTTGCGAATCACGAATCGCGTATCGTCTGGCGCCTGCTTCAGAGGATTACAACGAATTATTGTTTACAAACGGTTGCCAAGGAGATTCGAAGTTGAACTTTCAAGTCAAACGAACGTAACGCGAGCTATGCTGTATTCTAATTACAAATTATATTCTAAATCAGTTCTAAACCGTGAGCCTGTGTGTGTTAATAATTTCTGCAAATACGGAAGTGAGGGGGCGCGGACGCGAGGAAATGCACGCGAGCGAGCTACGGACGCAATATTGTGAGAGAGTTTACAATTTTCCGGGTAACAATTTTTTTCCAACTTCAAATTTATCATATTTATCTCTCTTAAGCTGGAGTTAGACTATGCGCAATTCGTGGTGATTTGCGCCCTTTAATTTCGTCAAAAATTGATTTGGGCAATGATCGGTAAAGGGGTTTACAAAAAAAAAACTAGTAAGAAATATAAATTTTGATAAGAATTACTTTTAAATAATAATTTTTTAAATCAACTAACATCCTGAAATCTACACTTTTGGGAACTAAAGTTGATTATGTACCTTTTTCATTACATTTTTCTTTTTCTATTAATAAATAAAATTGGTTTTTATATTTTGGTTTTTATTTTATTAATTAAAACTAATGACATAGGTTTTGGTAATTATTTAAAATAGAGCCTTTCTCAAATCTTGATATTTTTTTGCGGCTCTCTAAAAATCTTTGTTGTGACTCCGACTGTGATAATCAATTGGGGGAGCCCGAAAAATATGTACCCTACCTATTTTTTTACCTATTTTTTCCGACCTGGTTTTCCGGATCTTCTGACATTATAAATATATAGTGGCTCTTAAAAGGACCGATTTTGGTCCTGAAAAAAACCAGTAGTGATTTGTGAATCATGTCTATTTTGTTGTGTCACTTCGGTGTCAAACAGTTTGTGTCAATATTGAGGAAAGTGCTGATATGTGTGTATAAACAGTACATATGTAGGCGGGGGGGGGCTACCGCCCCTCCCACTCAAGCGGGGGTGGATGGGGGGTACCTCGGTTTGCGTGAATGTTTCTCTGGACAGCATTGTACTTTCCACACAAACCGAGGTTCACCCCACTCCACCCCATCCCTGCTTATAAGGCGAAACGAGGTCTATCATTGTACGGTTCAAGTTTTCAACTTTCCACGCGAACCGAGGTCCACTCTCCCAACCATTCCTGCTTGCGGGGGAGAGGCGGTAGCCCCTCCCCTGCCTACATGTGTACTTTCAAGTAAAAGAAAATTAAATGTTTGCGTGGAAAATTGAACGATACTTAAAAAAAAAAAAAATAGATAAAGAAATAAGTAAGGTACATATTTTTCTGGCTTCCCTGATTGATTATCACTGTCAGAGTCATACAAAAGTTTTTACCAAGAGAGCCGCAAAAAAATGTCAAAATTTGGAAAAGATCCTATTTTAAATATTTACCTAGGTTTTTATTGAAATAAATTTTTAACCGACTCAAAAAAAAAGTTCTCAATTCGGCGAGTATATATGTATGTCCACGATCTTTTCTAAAACTACCAAACGGATTTGAATGCGATTTTCACTGTCCTATAGAGCAATCCTTTAGGAAGGTTTTAGTACCTAAAATATTGCGTTAGGACATCAGGATATGGAGCAGTAAGGAAATATGCAATAATAATTACAAGCAAAAGTAAAAAATAATAAATTATTATTTTTTATTTATATTAATTGAATAACGCACTAAAAAGGTATAAAATAAAATAAAATTTTTTTAAATAAAACCGACTTCAAAAAAGCTCTAAAAAAAATGAAAAAAAATTTTTTAAATAAAAAACAGTCGTTTTTGTTCGACCCAACTGGCCAAATTGATATACTTAAACTTACGACGTTTTGACCGTAATTTCGGTCCTTTTCAAGTGAGAAGTGAGAATAATTACGCAATCAATCCGCATACAATAAATCCATTACGTCGCTAATATCGTGCCCTAACTACATCATGCATACGCAAAGTAAAAAGTAAAAAGTTAAAAAGAATAAAAATATATTAAAATACAGTGAAAAGGCTTACATATCTTGTGCGTCGAGGCAAAATATAAAAGCAATGTAGCGTGAAAAGAGAAACATTGCAAGCCATATCAGAGAACACATCCGGACAGTATAACTGTCAAAGTCACACTGAATATAACAGACATGATCAGCGAATGACAAGATGTGCTCAAAGATAAAAACGAGCAAAACCAAAACAAAAAGTGCAGACTAAGTGGCGCCGATAACGCGGTTGCAAATCGCAGGCAGATTTTCAGTGTCTTTTTGAAGATTGATTGTGCAATCGTACTTTTTAATAAAAAACATTTCTGCGATTTCTCTTTTCTTAAATTGTTTCTCTTTATATAAAATCTCAGGTTGATGCTAATTAAAATCATGATTGTACGTGAGACGGTGCTTACTGACTACTGAATGATTGTCGACATTCTTCCTAATATCGCAGAAATGTTCTTTGATGCGTGTCTCTAAGTGCTTTTTTTGTTTGTCTAATGTATGTAGCGTTACAATTTGCGCAATTAATTTTATAAACCAACTCAGTCTGCTTAAGATTCTGTATTATAGTCTATCTTTTCCTTTTCTAATGCGTGACGCTAAATTTAGAGTACTTCTCACCATTCCGAAGAAATTGGATTGCGTTATTAGAAAAGGAAAAGATAGACTACAGAATCTTAACCCTCAGGGTACACACTGGGTTAGCGTAACCCGAGCGAATTTTGAAAATAGCGTCATTTCAAAGGAAGTGAATGGTGGGGGTCCGTACCGAGGGGGAATAATCTTTGAGGTAGCTACTATGTGAGCGCCAAGGGGCAGCGTCAGTCTACGCTTGGTGCTCAAGTTATACGATTTTGAAAATTGAACTCGGGTAGTCTACACCCAGTCCATACGGAACGTTACAAAATCCGTGTTTAAAAAAAAAATTTTTGTGTTTTTCGAGTATTTGCTGCAGTAAATTTTTTTTTTTTTTTTTTTTTTTAAGTATTCTGGTATGTATAATTTACTATTTTTAATATACTTTTGTGCATTCTAACCTCAAAATGATGCTCTGTAGCATACCAGCATAACGTATCCGTGCATGCATGTTAATATTATTTCAATTTTTGATATTTATTTATATTATACTAATCAACAACATACAAAAGAACTATTTTTACTTTAAGATATTTTTTTTTGCGTTATTACGATAAATCAAGCAAGTAACGTTATACGCTATCGCAAAAAAACGGGTATTTTCATAGTTAAAAAAAAAATACTTTTTGGAATAAATCAAAAAACGAATTCAGCCATTTCAAAGAACAACTTTTTAGCTTTCAAACGCGACTTAAAAAATGTCGATATCTTTTTTCTTCATAAAGTTGTGCAATTTAAAAAAAAAAGTGAATTTTCATAAAAATTTTTTGAGAATGGTTTACATTTTCAAATGTATCTTTGTTTAAACAAGTAATGTAATAAATCTATCAACGCCATTGTATTTTTGAGAAAATTTCCGATTCAAAGAAAAAAAAATTTGTTTTAATTGACAAATTACAGCCCGATATACAGTCAATCAAAGTCGCCGGGTTAGGCTAACCCATGTCCGTACGAAACGTAACTTTTTTATAGTTTGTACCCTGAGGGTTAAGCAGACTGAGTTGATTTATAAAATTAATTGCGCAAATTGCAACGCTACATACATTGGACAAACAAAAAGGCACTTAGAGACACACATCAAGGAACATTTCTGCAATATTAGGAAGAATGTCGACAATCATTCAGTGGTCAGTAAGTACCGTCTCACGTACAATCATGATTTTAATTAGCATCAACCTGAGATTTTATATAAAGAGAGACAATTTAAGAAAAGAGAAATCGCAGAAATGTTTTGAAGTGAAACTTCTTTAGGCGCGGTAGTGAGTTCGATTCGCGACACGAAAAAGTGTAACGGAAGTGAAACTTTTTTGGTACGGTAGTAAGTTCGATTGTGCGACACGAAAAAACGTCACGAAATGGTGTCACGAAAATTCGACCAACAGGCGTACAAAGTGAAACTCCTTTTGGATCGGTAAGTATAAATTCGATTTTGCGACTCGAAAACGCGTCACGAAAATTCGATCAGGCGTACGGCACTGGCGAGACGGATATAGTGAGAACTGCGTGTAAAGCCCGGTTTTCACACGCAATGATTAGTGGCGCCAACTGACTGGCATTCATTGGCGCCAGAACCGACTAGCAAACTCACAAGTATTTACACAGTGATTGGCGTATAATATGGAAAATATTTAACATTTATTAAACACACGGTAAATGACAGCAAGCATATAACCTCAAATTTTGAGGTTATATGCTTTGGCCAATAACCGCCAGTAAACGCCACATTACTAGCGCCAGTTTGTATCAAGTGTTTACACTTGCATTTTTACTGGCGTTAGTCGACTGGCGCGGCCTGACGCCACCAATCATTGCGTGTAAAAACCGGCCTTAACATTATATTTTCGAGTTGCGGGCGGCTTGGAGTGACTAATTCCGTTGCATAGTTTTTGTATTAATTTCAGAAAAGTTATGGAAAAGCCTTGTCTTCAGAAGTTTCACTTCTAACGCGCGTGGCGACCACGCGTTCATTTTTTTTTTATTAAAAAGTATGATTGCACAATCAATCTTCAAAAGGACACTGAAAATCTGCCTGGGCCTTACAACCGCGTTATCGGTGCTACTTAGTCTGCACTTTTTGTTTTGGTTCTGCTCGTTTTTATCTTTGAACACATCTTGTCATTCGCTGATTATGTCTGTTATATTCAGTGTGACTTTGACAGTTATACTGTCCGGATGTGTTCTCTGATGATATGGTTTGCGACGTTTCTCTTTTCACGCTATATATACTGCTTTTATATTTTGTCTCGACGCACAAGATATGTAAGCCTTTTTACTGTATTTTAATATATTTTTATTCTTTTTAACTTTTGACTCCTGATCAGTTTATCTTTTTGACTAACGTGAGCTCATTTTTGTAAATGCCGACTTTTACTTTTTAGCTTTGCGTATGCATGATGTAGTTAGAGCACGATATCAGCGATGTAATGGATTTATTATATCCGGATTATGCGGATTGATTGCGTAATTACTCTTCTCACTTGAAAAGGATCGAAATTATGATCGAAACGTCGTGAGTTTAAGTATAATATATCAATTTGGCCAGTTGAGTCAAACAAAAACGACTGTTGTTTTGAATTTTATTTACCGGCGAAAAAAGTTACTTGTTTTGTTCAAAAAAAAAAAGCTCTAAAAAGTATGAAATAATACTTTTAAGAATTTCTTTCAATTATTTGAAGCCAGCGCCAAATTAATAATATTTTAAAGAATTCCTTTCCATTTTTTGGAGTCGGCGCCAAATTAATTTAGTAATTATTAATTTTAGTATTATTTTATACTTTTTAAAGTTATTTTATTTTTAATTCTTTTAATATTTTTTATTTTTTTAGAACTTTTTATTTTTATTTTATTAATTGTAAATTTATTTAATTTTTTTATTTTAATTTATTTAATACTAGCTTAATACCCGTGCTTCGCTACAGTAACACACATTTTACCTCTTTTCATCCCTTTAAACGGCAGATTTCTAAAAATCCCTTCTTACGGATGCTTACGTAGAAGAAATATAGGTATTCCCTAAATTTTATGTTTCTTACGTTTATAAGGGCTTGGGCTGGGTGTTGATGAATCAGTCAGGATATTTGTTTTTACATGTATAGATTAAAAATACTAATTAATAAATTATAACTTTACGTTCACAAAATATTATTATTTGTTAACAAAAATTTTTATATATTTTATTCTATTTTTAAATAAAAATGACGAATAAATATGTTTTATTGTGAGTAACGAATAATTTTAATAATAAATAATTCAATTAACAAATAAAAAATAACGAATACAAATAACGAATAAACATGTTTTATTGTAAGTAACGAACAATTTTAATAATAAATAATTCAATCAACGAACAAAAAATAACGAATACAAAAATTATTCGTTATTCGTAATCGAATAAAAATTTATTCAATTACAATTTAATGTACAACACTGGGCCAGGCTACTATCTCTGAAATTATATCATTGTGTAAAATATTGTACAATATTGTAAAATAAATGGTAAATTTTTGTGACAAAAATATTTGTTGTAATAAAAAATTTGTAGAAGATAATGAATTAACAATAAGCAAAAAAAATCTGTATACTTTTAATATATTATCTTTAATATTTCATAGTTCTTTATTTTAGAAGAAAATATTTAAAATATAAGTTTGATATTCTTAGGAACAGAAAAAAGAGAAATAAGGCATGCAACAATTAGATTTTCATAATTATTCTGCATTAAAATTTCTACTTTTAAAATCAATAGTTTGTGAGATATTTTATACTTTGTTTTGATTTTAATATAAAGTATGAAACATCTTAAATTAATAATAGAATATTATTTATATTTTATGTCAAAATTGATTTATAAAAAATACATAATTTTATTTAAAAAAATATATTAATATCTCATGAAATAACGCATTTTATAAAACTTTGTTTGCAAATATCATATTTCCACCTAAAAACTGTAGAACTTTTATTTTTGTAACATTATTTTGTAAAATAAAAAACAATTGAAATGATTAGACAATTAAAACAATTCATTTTGTTTTCATAGAACATGCGCGACCGCTACTGAGCATTAACGCTATCTATACAATAATTAATGGTACACACCGGCAGCAGGCATCAGCAATATACTGCAATAAAGTGCCGAGTTCCTCTTTAAAGTCATCTTAAAATTGAGATTGATGTATGGCTCCGCACAACACGAATACACGACTGATTCACGCGATTTGCTCAAGTCCATTAATTTCCACCCTGCATTTTTCACGTACATGCGTTCCTATTGTAAATCGCTATCTTAATATCATTACATTATATGATATCATCAAATAAATAATAACATTAAAAAAATAAATTGTAAAGTTTTATTTTATATTATATATATTAACTAATCTATATAAACAAAAAGTTTTTATGGTTATTTTTGCAGAAAGAACTGTTTGATTTTACAATCTGGGGGGGAGTGGAAGGGGGGAGATAGATAGATAGATAGAGAGATAGATAGATAGATAGATAGATAGATAGATAGATAGAGAGAGAGAAAGAGAGAGAGAGAGAGACTTTTGAAATGACATGTAAAATTGAGTCACTAATTATAAAATTTTGTTATACTTTATTTTTTGAAAAGTTGTGTTTAACAATTGGAAAATTAACATCTTAATAGACACTGTTAAACTAGGTAGGATTTCAGAAGATAAATAAGAATTATCTAAATTTAAAAAGTGAAAAATATTAAAAAGTAGAAACTTGAATTTTTTTAAATTGATTTTTTGAAAAATGAAACTACACATAACAAATTTAATTATTTTTACTTTTTCACTGGAATTGTTAATTTCTTAAATGTACTACCATTACTTCTTAATAATTCTACTTACAAAAATTATGCGTTATTGTTTTTTCAATTTTAATTTGATCTTTAATCGGATTTTGGGACTAAAAGTCAAATTTTCTTTTGTTTACATGCAATCTGCATCTTATTCCGGATCTTAAATCTTTTTTCTTAATATCTCTTGTATAACCTGTACATCATTGTTATTATTAACTGTCCTTTCTCTCAATAGGGAATGTATAAATAAAAAAATAAATAAGGATTCAAAATCTTAAATTTAAGAATAAATTTTACAATATATATTTTTCTGAGAAATGCGGGAACAAAGAACTGAGTAGTAATTTTTGGCGAGATCAGGAGGAAATACTTTGTGGAATATGCCAACAAGAAGTTGAGACAATAGAGCGTCTACCAAAGATGTAGGGAAAAGATAAGAAGTAACATGAGTACGGTGCAATTACTGACGAGGAAGGGAGAAGAAATTAGCTGGATAAAAAAGATTATTAAAATAAGAACAGAAAATATAACTAGCGACCAAAGAGCGTTTTAGAGTAAAAACTATATTATAGGGTAGAAAAGGACAGGCGTAGTAATAGTCGTTAAAGTATGTATAATCTTTATGTAATTCTGTGCATTCGCGGCGGCGTTTTTGTTTTTTTGTTAAATGCGGACTGTGATAGCGATATGGCATTATTGTAAAATTGTATTGTAATACCCCCTTTCAATGCCGAAAAGCAAGAAATAAACAGTTTATCTATCTATCTATTTTTTCTGAGAAAATCGCGACGTAATTTTTGCATCCTGTGTAAAATTGAATTAAAAGACAGACGTGATTAAATGTAATAACATTTTTCATACCATGTTTTCGGTCTCGCTCAATCGCATGTCGATTTGCTCGCCATGGTACGTCCAGGAGCCGAACGTCATATTGCAAACTTGAGTATCAAAGGGCCAAAGACGAAGATCCAGCTCGCAAAGGCCAATAAATTGCGCGGGTGGCACCCATAATACTTGACCATCATGGAAGATGATGCAGGCCGTATCACCATAATGCTCGACTGTACCCGCGGTTCCACTGAATAAAATAAAGTATATTGAATTATTTGACATAATTTTAGATTAAAGTTTGAGAAAGAATTACATGGTCAACCTATTCGAACATTTTAACGTAGAAATGTACGAGTTTTCAAAATTTGAATAGTTTGAAAGAAACTGATAATCTATCTATTTGATCATCAGTTTGATCAAATAAATTGTTCAATATTAAAAAAAATTTGAGCAAAATTAGTACTTATTGCAAACAAAAAAAAATAAACGTGTGGTCGCCACGCTCGTTAGAAGTAAAACTTCTGAAAGCAAGGCTTTGCCATAACTTTTCTGAAATTAATATAAAAACAATGCAACGGAATTAGTCACTCCAAGCCGCCCGCAACTCGAAAATATAGTGTTACACGCAGTTCTCATTATATCCGTCTCGCCAGTGCCGTACGCCTGATCGAATTTTCGTGACGCGTTTTCGAGTCGCAAAATAGAATTTACTAACCGATCCAAAAGGAGTTTCACTTTGTACACCTGTTGGTCGAATTTTCGTGACACTATTTCGTGACGTTTTTTCGTGTCGCACAATCGAACTTACTACCGTACCAAAGAAGTTTCATTTCGTACGCCTATTGGTCGAATTTTTGTTACACTTCGTGTCGCATAAACTTACTACCGTGCCAGAAGAAGAACCGTCTCGCCAACGCCGTACGCCTATTGGTCAAATTTTCGTTACACTTTTCGTGTCACACAATCAAACTTACTACCGTACCAAAGAAGTTTCATTTCGTACGCCTATTGGTCGAATTTTCGTTACACTTTCTGTGTCACACAATCGAACTTACTACCGTACCAAAGAAGTTTCATTTCGTACGCCTATTGGTCGAATTTTCGTTTCACTTTTCGTGTTTCATAATCGAACTTACTACCGTGCCAGAAGAAGAACCGTCTCGCCAACGCCGTACGCCTATTGGTCAAATTTTCGTTACACTTTTCGTGTCGCACAATCGAACTTACTACCGTACCAGAGAGAAACCTGAGAGCGGCCATCCGGCTTCGGGGGACGTCTGTCCTAATCTGCCCTCTGAGAAAATGGACGTCAACTACGGCGTTACGCTCGGTAACGATCAGAGAGGACTCGGGTAACGATACATGGGTTTGTATCCATGCTATGGTTCGTGTCCGAACTACTCAGATGGAGGGGATATGCTGGTCGCGCAAGCCCCTCCTCTGTCCGTGTCTAGGCACTCGGCAAGCTTCGAGCGGGGAGAGAAGGGCAGACATACGATTTGCTGTCTCTCTTGAGCTGTGACGTTGCCGCTTTGCACGGGCCGGCTATACCACGATGCCACATGCCACGCATTTCGGGTATCGTGTCTCGTGTCTCGCCGAGTGCCAAGTCTCGAGTTGACAAATCGACGATACGCTATACCCGCTATACGTTACATTTGCTTGTATATTTACAAATTTTAACTTTTATATTTATAACTAAATAAATTTAAAAAATATATATATATATGTATATACATTTAAAATTTATAAATATATAAAGATTGCAAATATAATTAATTAAATAAATATTTATAAACATAAAAACTCTAAAATTCGTAAATGTATATAATGTATAGAAATCACCGTTCTATGCTTTTCTATCTAAAAAAGTCTTACATTAAAAACCTTTACTTTAGCATAATAAATTTTAAATTTAATATTTAAATGCATACCAATAATTATATTATTAACTATATTGAGAAAAAAATGGTAGTTTATAATGTTTCTTGCACTCTTATTAAATTTATTTTATCTAATGCATGTTCAAGCGGCCAAATTACGAGCAACAACAGAAGGATAATTGGATAAAAATAAAAACACTTTCTTAAATAAACAATACACATGGGTAACAGTCAGTTCTATTATAATTCTCGTATAGTTCTGAACGTGTTCTAACGTTTTCTAAAGAGTTCTGACAATAAGCATTATTTATTTATATTTTAAATAATTTTTATCTCCCAAGAAAGACGCATTTGCGGGTATATGGGTGAGACGCTGTAGAAAATTTCGGAGTTCTGACTTATATAAAATATTTTTCGTAGAGTTTTAAACATACTAAAACAATTTCTAAAGAGTTCCGGGCATTGGCAATGTTGTATAATTTTTAAATAAATTAATAACGCACGAAAGTCAGGAATTTATCGAGAATAGGGTTTTTCTCGCGATAAAAATTATTTAAAAAATGAATAAATAATGCTTATTGCCAGAATAAAATGGGACAACGTTAGAATACGTTCAGAACTACACGAGAATTATGACAGAACTCACAGAACTGTCGAAATATGGCCAGCGTTTCAGCTTATTTTCGATAAATTCCTGATTTTCGAGCGGTATTAATTTATTTAAAAATTATACAACGTAGCTAGTGTTTGCTAAAGTTAATAAACATATATATACAACGTAGCTAGTGGCGGGAACTCTTTAGAAAATGCTTTAGTATGCTCAGAACTATACGAAAAATATTTTATATAAGCCAAAACTCCGAGATTTCGCACAGCGTCTCATCTTCTTCTGTCATAATTATTTTTCGGTTAATATTAATTTTTTTTAATATAACACGAAAATTCTAACGCTCGAATCTCTTTAAAAAATGTTTCAATATGCTCAAAATTACTCGAAAAATATTTTACATAAACCGGAACTCCGAGATTTCAACTGGCGTCTCAACTCGGTATACTCGTTGCATTGTAATTTTTTTTAACTTATATAAGGAAACGAAGAAAGTGAATAACGTTAAACTTTGCATGTTTTCTTCACTTTATTTAAAAAATTTATTTTTATTTTTTAAGTAACAAAAATGCTCTTTTTTTTACCTTATAATTAATTTTTTTGCTTTTATAAGGCAGAACTCTTTATAGAACTGTTATAGAACTATAGATGCATATAGATCTTGCAAAATCTGATGAGATACAGTGGTGGAACTTGTGTAGGACAAAGTGAGACGCTGCGTGAACCTATAATAGCGTCTCAGTTTGTACTGACGCGTTTTTATGGCCAGAACTATTTGTTTAAACTATCAAGAACTCTAGAACTATTGAAAAGGAAGCCAGGACTCTCAATAATTTGTGAGTTTCTGCAAAATGAGACGATAGCTTCACACACACGTCAGGAAGAGAATGTAAAGAATTATTAACGGAGATATTCTAATTTAAAAGATCTTTAAAATATTTATTTTTCATGAATGTTTTATAGGGAAACGAAGAAAGTGAATAACGTTAAACTTTGCATGTTTTCTTCACTTTATTTAAAAAATTTATTTTTATTTTTTAAGTAACAAAAATGCTCTTTTGTCTGTTATATCCTGGTCACTATAAATGACAGACGATGTAAATAATTTTAGCTGTTTTAGGTATCTGAAACGCAAAAAGCTAAAATTTTCTTATTCTGCAGGAGAAGTGTGGCTATCGTCTGAACTAGAACTAAATCAATATTTCCATTCTGAGCGGCTTTTTTATTAAAAATATAACTTTTTTAAAAATTTTATTAGTATTTTATTAAAAGAAAATGTTTATTCTAGTTCAGACGATAGCCATATCACTTATTTTGAATAAGAAAATTTTTGGTTTTTACGTTTCTGATACCTAAAACAGCTAGAATCATTTACTTCGTTTCTCATACTTACATATTTTAGTGATCAAGATATAACATAAAAGTAACAAAAAAAAAGAATATTTTTCTTACTTAAAAAATAAAAATAGATTTTTAAAGTAATATTAAAAAAACATGCAAAGTTTAACGTTATTCGCTTTCTTCGTTCCCCTATAAAAAATTTCTGAAAAATACCTATTTTTAAAGACCTTCTCCGGCTCCAGTCATACTCAAATTATATTCATGCTTAAAAAGAAAAATTTATTTTACTAAAGTTAATTTACTAAATATTACATATAACAACTAAAAAATAAGAAGTTAACTTCAAATCGCGTACTTTACAAGTATTTCTCGAAAACGAGTACCGCAAAGGTATTGAAACTTATCGCATATTATTAATTTCTATTTTTATATAAAGCATCATATACTAGTCTTTCAAAAACATTTAGAAAAAACTTTTTTCACAATTTATTAAAATGTCTGTTTCACAATACCTCGGAATAGGAATTCCGTGTTAAAAGTTAAAACTTTGAAGCTCAGTAGCTCAGAAGCTCGATTTTTAATACCGCAAGAAGTACTAAAATTTATACTACACATAAAACACACCTATAAATTAATGTATATTCACAGTTTCAAGAAAATCTAGAAAAAATCGATTTTCCGGAGAACATCCTTAAGATCTTTCAAACCAGAATACGCTCTTGTAATTTATTATTTGTCATTAACATGTTTTATTATTAATCACATACATATAAGTGTAACGATGCACCCCGTGCGCTAAGCATCGTTCCCGGCTAACAACCGCCGGATGCCGCCCGACCGACAACCAGTCGGGCGAAGACCAGGGCGCGGTGCGCCCACATTTTAAACGTAATTCAAAACGCACCGTGTGCGCGGGCCAAGCGCGGCACCGGTGCCTCCCGACGAGCGACGACGGGAGCCGAGCCGCCCCGAGGACGAGCGCGGCGCCGCGCCGCCCCACCACAGCGCGACGATCGGCGCTCCTAGCAAACCCGCCGCGCCGGGCGGGTATATAAACCGCCGCTCCGGCGAGAAAAGAGACTTCGTCTAAAGATCCGCTTCCAAGACGAAACCTATTCCCGACTCCTAGGGAACACGCCAACGAGGTCCGGTGCTCCGAGCCTCGACTGAGAGCTCTCAGGTGTTCCCGCACTCCCTCAGAACTAACCCCGAAGGCACGGTTGCGCGGGGTCGAGCGCGCTCGGCCTCGCAACGAGGGCTCTCGCTGCCGCCGCCCCGGGGCTCCGGAAATCTGACATCCTACGTTACGCGTCCCCGCACGCATATTACCGCGGCATCCGCGAGCGTACAGATATTATGTAATATACCGAGCACGTCGAGTAACGATACCGCGTTCGTTATTAAATACCGCGTCGT